ATAGAATATTATGTAGAACTAAGAAACAATGATTTTGTAAGATATAACATGGGTGAATTTAGCGAGCATTAAGCTAGGTGAAATAACTTAAGTCTCATAAGGACAAATAATGCCTAGGACCATTATTATAAAAATAAAAGGATAAGTGAGCAAAGTGCTTATACATTTCTTTAAAAGGGAAGGCGAAAAGGAGTAAGGGGTGGAAAAGGTGAAGGAGGAAAACGTTTAGTATATATAGCAAAGGTTAGGAGGCAGGTAGGAAATAGGAAAGATTCATTGGGGATTTGAAAAGATAGGGTAAAAACAGGCATGTATCAATAGCAATCAAAGATTCTCACCACTGGACCAATTGGCAGCATCAGGATGGATGGTGAAGAGATTGAGATTGTACACAGCTTTGGTTTGCTTGGCTCCATAGTCAACAGTCTTGGCACCAGCAGCCAGGAAATTAAAAGGCGCATTGCCATGGGAAAGTCTGCTGTTAGGGACCTCTCCAAAGTACTGAAGAGCAATGGTGTCTCTCTGGAGACTAAAGTGCATCTGATACAGGCCATAGTCTTCCCAATCACCTGTTATGCATCAGAGAGTTGGACAATGACTAAGGAGGATAGAAGGAGAGTTGATGCCTTTGAGCTGTGGTGCTGGAGAAGAGTATTGAGAATACCATGGACTGCTAGGAAAACAAACCGATTTGTCCTGGAAAGGGTTAAACCGGGTGGCTCCTTGGAGGCAAGGATTCTGAGGCTCCATCCAACATACTTTGGACATGCTGTGAGGAGAGACCGGTTCTTGGAGAGAGACATCATGCTTGGGAGGGTGGAGGGACAGCGCAGGAGAGGAAGGCCCTCTATGAGGTGGATTGATTCAATGACTGGGATAATTGGGATGGGAGTGTCAGAGACGGTGCTATTGGCACAGGACAGAGCGGAGTTTAGGGCTGTTGTACACAGGGTCAATATGAGTCGCAGGCGACTCGACGGCACATAACAACAACAACAACATATGCAATTTATATAAATGATTGTATGAAGTCCAATATACATGAGTGAAACACAAGATAAATGAAGGATTGCAAAAAACACAGTGTATATGTATGAAACACAATATATATGGATGTTTATAATACAAATCAATAAAAATATGAGAAGAGGAAATAAAAGAACTATGCCTGGCCTAAGTGCTTCCATTGCTCCTTCAGTGATTTTAATCCAGAAAAGGATCTCAAGATTGTTCAGGAGTATTCTGTATTAATTGTGTATTTTCCTAACTATGGTGGTCAAATTGTCATGTAGCTCTTCTGACATTGTTGTTGTTAAGTGCCGTTGAGTTGTAGGTGACTCATAGCGACCCTATGAAGAAAAGTCTTCAACACTTGTGTGACTTTCATCCTCTTTCCAGGTTCATAGGGTTTCTGGAGGCAAGCTATTACCGAAGTGGATGCCACTCCTGCTTCCAAGCTTGTTTTAATTGGGGAGCTCCACCAAACACTGTCCACCATGGGTAAACATTAATGCATTTGACATATCAGTGTCACAGTGTTCAGCTTCACAGTGACCACAAGTTACCTCAGTATAGTTACCAGGGCTATAGGACCTAGAAGAATGTTTGAACAAAAACAATGAAAGACAGGCCTGAGGGCCTCAGATTAAAAGTCACCCACCTTTGGCTTGGTAGCATCACTTTCTGTTCACTGGGCCAACTGATCACTCTCTATGTTGATGTTAGGAGGGCTTATTTCAAATCAAAGGTAAATCAAAACCAACAAAATGGGAAGCAATTTGTGCATCATGTGTCATAAATGCTTCTACGTAAGTTAGCATCTCTCCTAGAGTCCCTCAAATGTCTGAGAAAATATCACATTCCACAAAGCCTTCAGGACGTTCTCCAGCAGATTATCACAATAAAAGAGTATAAAACCCAATTCCAAAGTTAAGATGGGGAAAAGAAAGGCAGAATCAGCCCTTGAGAAGACATTTCCATCATTCACTGCTACTATATTGTCTGTTTGATGATATCATCACCAGACAAGGCATTCCGGTGCACAGGCCTTAAAATGAAATCCTGGACACATTATAAAGCCAGTGTGGTTAAGTGAAAAGACTCTGTAAGACCTCCATTCTATTTCTTTCTTGTATGGATATTAAGGTTAGCTTAAATTGTGTGATCTTGTGAGAAGGAAAATCAGATTCCACTCTTTCCTGGGAATTCCTAGTTGCCTGTAACCCTAAAGAGTGAGTCAACTGGAAAGGGATCTGATTACTTTTGCCAGACTTAATCTCTTACTTGAATGGTTAATGAGGCCTTTTGATAATCTTAATCGCCTCACTTCAGTAAAATACCTACATGCTATTTCCACAGGAAATAAATGTCCACAGGCCATAAACTTAACTCGATTAATAGTTAACATGGGAGAAAGTGGGAGTTGTATTTAAATAAAAGGCAGGGCATGGTGATGATAAATTCATTTTCTCCCTCTACTTGGCTGCCTCTGGGGGCTTTCCAAGGCCTTTGCTGGAGTCGGTGGGAGGAAAAATTAAGTGAAAAACACTGGCAGTTGGAGTCTCTGTCTGGGCCTATCAATAACAGGAAGTCACCCACAGATCCAGGATATAAAAGGAATCAAGGTCACAGAAAAGTGGTGCTACACACAGGTAAAAGCACAAAAACACAGGACATAGAATCTGGTATAAATCTCATATCTCTCAAAGAGGGGGAGTAGACTTCTTGATGTTCTGATTACTCCATGCTAGACAGTGGATCTTTTCTATTCTCTTCCCACTTCCAATCTCTGTTTTTATTAGAAGTCTGAGTGATCTCTCAGAGATAAGAAGTCCCTATGATTCTTTGGATCTCCATAAATAGCAAAGACCAAACTAAAGAAAGGTAATGGTTATGGGCCATTTGATGGAGAAGTCAAGGGAAAGTGAGATCATCCATTGAACTTGTGCCACAGGGGGCTTATGGTCAGATAAAAAAATAAATGTTTTCTGTATGTCTATCTGGAACCAGATACAATGGAACTTTTATGATTCTCTATTCAGAGAAAGTACATCAAAACTAATTGTTGTCAGTTGTGGTCCAGTCAACTATGACTCATGGTGACCCTATGAACAATCAATGAGAACCTTGATATATCCTGTACCACAAGCTTTGCTGTGCTCACACCCACTGTTGAAGACTTCAAAACTAAATTGACAGCCTTAAATCACAAAACTTAGAAACTTAGCAATATATTCAAAGCACAGTTTCAGGATTGGGTGTTCACAGTATCCTACAAAATGATGTGATTTCTAAAAAGAAATGTCTAGAGTTAAGATAAGACATGGGTTATTCCATGTCTATTCTTCCAGAAGTCTCTCAACTAAGAACTATGAAGACATTCCTTTCCAAGGATTCCCAAGGCTCCAGTATCAATAGAGAAAAGACATTTTCACCATCAGCATTCTATGATAGATAAAATTCACAATTCTAGGGCTTTATTGGTGAAGCAAATTGGTAATATATTGAAAAGAACAAGTCTTACCAAACTACGATGTCTTGCAAAATGAAGACGAAAACACACAATGACTTTTTTTTTCCACTTTTACCTTCACCCAATGCATCTGCTTATTGATTTTTTGCTCCCCTCTCCCTCACTTCCCATCCCCAATGACATTTAAGACACTTTTAAACAAACCACCACCTCTTGGGTCAACCATTTCTAAAATGTCAAGAATTCAAAAATTCAAGAATACTCATAAAATGTGAAGAATTCAAAATGCACAGAAAGCAATTCCTATTTATCTTACCTACACAGTGTCTTTTAATCTGAAAACATAGGCATGCTGGGTTTTGTGGCCTTTAGTAGACTATCCTATTACAGGCTATTCCCCTAACAATGCACTGACCATATGGTTGTAATGGATCACTGGTAAAATACGTATTACCAGCACAAGGGAGCTCTTGTAGCATAGTCTCTGTCAGGGGCACTGCTGACACAGAGACCATGCCTACCAGGCGGTCAGAACCCAGCAATGGCTCCACAGGGGAAAGATGGACCATCTCCTCCCTTGTGATTTGTAGCTTCAGAGAGTCAATTAAGAGTCAGCTCTGACTTGATGACAATAAATTTGAAGGCTTTGTTGAACCATACAATGGTATACAAAAGTCCTGAGTATATGGTTATACTGTCCTGGAAAGAGTAACAAAGATAGGAATGAACTATTACTGTGAGTTTTGGTCTTTAAGCTACTCACTACACTCTCAAAATTCTTTCCATGTACAATTTATATTACATTAAAACATAATCCAGATTAAAAAAAACAAAAACATAACCCAGATTAGTTCTTTCATAGTTTTGAGTAAGAAATTAGATATGCCATGCTAATCACAATAGCTCACAAATAAAAAGTAACTTTCAAATATACAGTTAAACCATGCTCAGCTTATTACTGAAAAAATAAAAGAAATTTAAATTTATTTCTTTAAAATAGTTAGAAAAACTGTCATCATGGAATAAATGGAGCTGATAGAGGTAATGATAAAAAACAAACAAAACCTTCCAATTACAGACAAGTTAGCAAAGATACAGTGTACTTTGTGTTTGCTCTTGTGATCATATTATTTCAGAAAATCCAAAATTACTTCAATGGCAAGAACAGTAGAATAATTTAGGTAAAGGGACCAATTACTCAGATTTAGTATCAAAGGCAGTAACAAGTTTCTATACCTCTTTGCCCGTTCTTATTTTCTTTGAGAGTCCTTTATTAAGTAAGCAACCATGGAGGCAGCATAGAATGTGCTAAAAAAAAAAAAGAGGGGGAAAAGTATTGCTTCTAGAAGCAACTCCACCTTCTGTCTCATAATTCAGCACCATCTTCACATCTCTACATCCTCTCCAAGTTCCTGTTATAAACTAATAGGTCTAAGGATTTTGTTTCATTATTAGCCTGTTTCTAAAAAGCATTAACAGATTAACAATCTGTAAATTACTTAAAATCGTATTTATAAGAGGAACTAACCTGGAGATGACTGGTGCTGGAGCCCAGCTATGGTCTTCTCTGGCCCCAAGCTCTTTTCCAAAGTTTCCCCAGGCACCAGCCAAGGTTGGCCTGCTCTGAGGGAGGCTGAGTTGGCTCCTTTGGTCTCCGTGACCTTTGAAGAGGATGGTGGCTCCAAGGTGTCAGCAGACAGGCACTCAGAGATGGCAACACTCTTTCTAGCCAGATAGTCATTAAGAGCAGCTTCCCTCTCACCAGCCAGTGGTGGGAGTCGGAGGATCCTGTGATGCTGCTGAGGGCTGGGAAGCTTTGGAGACAGAGGAGAGGAGACAGGTGGCATCTGTTTATGTGTGTCAGCCTGGGACTGAGGGGCTGAATTATTTAATACCATGCCTACTGCTGCCAGTGCTGGGGGGGATGGTCTCTTCCCATCACCTGTAGGTTGTGAGGAGTTGGGGCCTACGCTGTGGGGCACATCCACAGAGAAGGTTTTGTGGCCACTCAGAGGCAACCTCGTTTTCCTCTTGCTTCTGATTTCTGGGAGAGTATGCATGGCCTTTTTGCTGAGAGGGAAGCCCAGCCTTTTCCCTTTAGTGGCCTCATCTAACTTCTCACTCTCGATCACCTTCAGGAGGACCTTGTTCACAGCCCCCTCGGCACTTGCTGGTGTACTGAAAGTAGAGGCTCTCAATCTGGGCAATGACTGGCCCCCTTGCTGTTCTTCACCCCCAAACCTGGAAGCCGTGGCTTCTGGGAGAGTGAGTAAGTCAGCTTTAGGTATGAACTCAGCTTGAGCTTCTGGACAAATGACAACCCTTTCCTCACCTTCCAGACCCGTCTGAACTACTCTTTGCACCTGAGCAGACAGATTCTGCACTTTGGCCACCACTTTGGAAACTGGTTTCTTCCTGAAAGTCTGTTCCTCTGATTTCTCCCTCAGGCCCCTCTCAGCCTCTGGATGCTTCACAGGATCCTTGCGGTTTTCAGACAGACCTGTTTGCTGATGCCCCAGCCTGTGAGGCCTCCTCCTCCGGGGCCCCTGAGCTCCATCACTCCCTCTCTCGCTGGGGCTGTGGTCAGGCAGGGGCACTTCTCTCCCAAGCCCAGTGTCCTCAGAAGCCACTTCAAAGCTCCCAGAGCCAGAGTCTGTGTCCAGTGTCCTGGGAATCTCCGGGCAGCTCTCTCTCCTCTTCTGAGCTGTGGTAAGTGCTCTATTTGGGAGCAGGTTTCCTTTCTCCTCTAGGAGGTTGGGCCTTGCATGAGGAGGAGGGAAGGAGTTGCAGGAATAGACCTGGTCTTTGCTCACCTGAGGAGCCGATTCCTGGCCTCCATGCCCTTTTCTTCTTATCCTTTTTTGCGGAAGTGTCTGAAAGCTCTCTCTCCTTCCACCGAACCTCCGGGGCTTTTTGTTCCCATGGGTGCTCCTCTTATTAAGGGGGCCTAAAGGGGGCTCCCCCCGCCAGTCACCAGCACTCTGGAAACAGTCGTCCTCGGGTGCCAGGCTCACGGACAGCTCGGGCATCTTCCCTTCCTGGTTGCCCATAGTAATCCCCAGGATATGGTCTGAGCTCAGCAGATTGGCCAGCAGTCGCTCCCTCTCTGCTGTGAGTTTGTACAGCTCGGTTAGAATGTCTTTCGTAGGCGTCTGCTTGAAAAATATGTCGCCTGGATGTTCGTTTGGCTGCTGACTGAAGCTGACGATGTCTGACCCCTCCCTTACTTGGTAGCAGTAATGAAAGCCTTTATTGGATTTGTCTAGAGTTACAGTGCCCTTGTATGAAAATCCTTTGACTTCCCCCCTTGGAAGATAGAAGCTGATGTAGCAGAGTTCGGTAATGGGCTTGTGCAATTGGAGGGTGCAGTGAGTGCCTTCCATTATGCCTGCCTAATTATTCATGCCTTGGAGATGTCGGGCTGTGGTCAGGCTTCCCAGGCTCCGGTGGTGGGCCATGTGATGGTGAGGATGCAAGGAAAACAGCTGACAGTCATTCCTAGCAACGCCACCGCCTGTGAGAGGAACAGGGGAAGAAAGCAGCTTGTCTAACAGAGTGCACACACATCACAGGCCAGAGCAAATCAAAGCAGAACCATAACTTACCCTTCCTCTCTGGCTGACCTCAGCCAACCCAAGGATTTGCCAATAGGCTGATTGTAACCACTTCCCCACACCCACCTCACCCTTGACCAGGAAAGCTTCTCTACAGCTGAGAGACGGGAGAGACCTCTATTCCTAAACCCAGCAAAACTTCCTCCTTGCCTACATGGGGACTTACTCTATAGCCTAGTGCAAACCTCAACTTCTCCAGGTCTGTGTTATGTCCTTGAGAACAAAAGAGCCATCAAACCTTCCACAACTCCTGAGGAAAAGGAGTTCTGAGATTTCTTAGAAAGCACTGCTTTTCCTTTTCATTTAGGGAGCGCTGGTTGAAGAGTCTCTAGGGAGCTGTACTGTTAACCCACATGTGGCGCTTCTCTGCCTCAAGCTGCTCTACAGGAAAAGACAATCTCTTCTCACACAAGTCACACCCTCTGAAAACTTGCTGAATTTCAACTATGACTCAATATCTTGACTCAGTAGCAGTAGCCATTTTAATAAATGATGTTTACAACGTAATTTTGTAGAGGTGATTCTAGCCTTTCACTCTCCAAAAGGTGCCTTTGACAGACCCTACAGAGTACAAATGGTCAGTGCACTCAGTTGCCAACCAGGAGGATACTGGTTCAAGTCCACCTACACATCTGGTAAGAAACTCTGGTAATTTACTTCTGTAAAATAAGCCAGTAGACTCCTATGGAACACAATTCTATTAACACAGAGGGGGTTGCAACAAGCTGAAATTTACATGATGGCATTGAGTTTAATATTCGTTATTATTTCAATGAAAACTTACAGAGACTTTGGATTTCCATTCATTCATTGTCACACTTTTTCATTGAAATTAATAATAAAAAAATTTTTAAAAATTGCTATTATTTAGCAATTTAACTTAAAGCAAATGTGAGGACATGGTGTTAGACTAAATACTTGGAATCTTTTGGACATTACTCATATTTTGCTAAAAGTTTATACCAAAAAGTGCATAAAGAACTAATTAGCAGTGTAATCAAGGTTTTTATTTGTTGGTTTTCTGCTTCTTGTTTCTAAGGGCCAATGGAATGGTGTAAGAAAAGGAAACATCTGCAAGATTCCCCTGGCCTTGTGTGGATTTTCAATGGCCTCACTCACTATAGAAATTGCTGAAATGAATAACAAATAGTGAAACTGTCTTCTCTTTAGTATGATTTGAAGGACATCAGAAAAGACTCCACGGCCTAAAATATTGTTGTTGTTGTTGTTGTTGTTGTTATATGCCGTCGAGTCGCCTGCGACTCATAGCGACCCTATGTACAACAGCCCTAAACTCCGCTCTGTCCTGTGCCAATCGCACTGTCTCTGACGCTCCCATCC